CCACCGAGGGGTGAGGGAGCTGGGGTGTACAGCCACCAACTCCCCTCGCTCACTCGTAGAGCTGCTGGAGGGAGGTCCTTAGCTCCCAGCACTAATGGCCTGTCTCGCTGGAGTCCCTGGTTATCTAGAGAAAGCTGCCAGCCAAAGGACTTCAGGGGTTGTTGTTGGAAGTGCAGGTATGCACAGGAAAGGTGAATGTCAGGGAGATGTGGGTGGGGCACTAACAGGGCCTGCTGCCAGAGCTGCACAAAAAGTTAAATGAAAACCTGAAGAACTAGGCCCAAGAAGGAATTGGGCCTCCAAAGCATAGCAAGAGTCATGTGTCTACTTCCTGAGTAGGGAAGATAATACATTTTCATGGACAGGCCCACAAAGATTGTATTCCACGGGGAAAAGTAGGTCTTCAAAGCACACTGTTACCATAAGAAGGGTCAATGTTTCTGGTCCTACAAAAGCCACAAATATCACAAAATCTTCCCTATAAACTAATCCCTTACCTCTAGGATGGATTCACTTACAGGAGCTCAGGGTTTCCTAGGCTGGGCCAATTAGGGACCCATGAACTTGCTTGGAGCGCTGCTCAGAGTAACAGTGCCCAGGCTCACGTGGGCCAGTTGGTGTGCAGAATGCTGGCTGCCCTCTGGCTTGAGCAGTGCCTTAGAGGTCAGTGGGGAGAGCGTGGTACCATCAGATCCTGGGCTCTGGAGCCTGCAGACCCTGACTGTGAGACCTCGTGAGACAGATTAGTAAACCAGATCAAGTGGACTAAGGAAACCAAGACAGACAGTTAAACGGCCAAGCTGTTTACAGCCACCTAGTAAACCTCAAAATCCTATCTTCTCTAACCAAGGATACTTAAGAGTAAATAATTTACACTTTTCCTCCCCAACCAGAGAGTAAATATCACCCTACTCAGGGAAATAGGTAACAGAAATCCAGTTAATGCCATTTGCGCCAACCATACCCAAGGACAAATGACATCAGGGGAATAAATCTCATTTGGGCACATCAGCATAAAGCTGATGAATATTTTAAGATCTTCCCCTAGGACCTTCCCTAAAATTCCCGTCTTTAGAAAACAGATAAGGACCCTCAACAAAAAGACCCAGTGCAGGCTTTCTCAGGAGCATACCTACAACCTTGTTCCCTCTCAGGCTTGGATTTGCTCTTCTCTGTATTAAACTTTAAGGGTCCCTGTGAGCAACCAGGGGAGCAATGGGCAGCAGTGGCTCGTCCTGGGCTAACCCTCTGAACCTGTCTCCAAGGCTCCCATTTTCTTGTTTTTGTTTTTATTTCCAAGGCCCCCTTTTTTCTGACTTTTCAGTGAGCTAAGAGCAGCCCTGCCTGGGCTGTTTTTATAACATTTCTAAGGAGCCAAAACAACCCTACCTAGGCATCCCCTGTTGCTACTTCTACCCTAACACCCTTCCTTTGCTTCACTGTCCAGAGCTTTTACAAATGTACTCTCAGAATCCCCTGGACGCAAGTTGTGAAATATTCCCTGCATGGTCAAGAACCCACGCACTACTGGTGAGCCAGAGGCGTTGAACCACTCCTGGCCCAGTCCCTTTGCGGTGACACTTGGTTAAGTAATTTCACCTCTGAGCCTCTCAGTTCCTCGTCAGTGACAGGGCCATCGCAGGTGGTTGTGTGCAATGTGCTCATCTCCAGGGGATGCAGTGCATGTCATACATAATTGACACTGTAGTGTCCAGTGAATTGGAGTGGTGGCAAGTAAGGTATCCAGCATCCTTAGCAGCAACCTCCACGGGCCATGCAACGTGCTCACAGGATCTAGAGCTTTGTTCCCAAACTCCCACCCCCGTGTGTCTCTTTGGGGGCTGCTGTCACACTCTCCTGAGGTCGCATTCATTCCCAGATGTATTCCTATCGTCTCCTGCTACAAACAGGCTTACTACCCTCAGTCAGATTGCAGCAAGCTTGCATCACCCCAACTCTGTGGACCAAAAAACCTAAGGGAGCTTCTCCACAGCCCTCTTCGATATACAAAAGACCCAAGGGGAGGCTCTGATTGCACTGATAAGTCATGTGCTCATCTCTTGGATCAATCAATATGGCCAGGGGCTTGCACTTCAATGACTGGCCGGGCTGGGGCCAAAGCAGCAGGATAACACAGTCGGTGACTGTGTGGCCTGGCAAAAGGCAGGACCTAAGAACCCCAAAGGCTGAAGGCTTCAGTGCAGGTCGTGGGAGTCCTCAAAATTCTTCCCTCCTCTCTGTGTCCAGTGTGCCCCTCGTGGTGTTCACACCTTCTGGAGACAGTTGTGCTCACTCCCAGCCAGGAGCTGTCAGCAGCCTGTGGGTATTATTGGTCCAGACAAGTGAGGGAGGGTCCAGTTCTTAGGCTCAAACACACTTGATAAATATTTGCTATGCTTCAGTGTTGACAGGTGAGGCCTAAGCTTCTATCTGTCCCTCCCTGGTGATTGTCTCTGCCCAGCTCTGCAAGCTACCCAAAGAGCCCCGCTGCCCTCCCTCTGTGGGGGGTGTGGCCTGGGCCAATCCTGCCTGCCTCTTCCTTCCCAGCTTGGAGAAGGAGTCCTTGGACCCTCACTGGGGCAGCATCCTCTCAATGCTGTTCAGCCTTTCCTTTTTTCCCCTTCCTCTCTGGAATTCCAAGGCCCTACAAAGATTTAGGGTCCCTCTGAGGAGGGGCAAGGCTGAAGAGAGACACCAGCAAGATAGAAAAAGCAGGGTTCTGGAGCAGGCCTGCCCCTGTTTTTATTCAGGCTCTGCAACTTACCAGCTGTGTGACCTTGGGCGATCCTAAATCTCTCTGAGGGCTACTTGCCTCTTTTATAAAGCAGGATAACAAACAATAACTACCTGACAGAATTAAGGGGATAATTTTTCTTAAGTGCTATAACCAAGCTTCTGGCACACAGGGAGCACTTCCTCACAGGTGTCTATGACAGGGGATTTCAAGAGTTAAAGATTTTAACCTCAGTTGATAGGTTTAAGTGATTAATGGATGTGGAAAGCTATTATTCCAAGAACTGGGATGCCTGACTCCAGGAGGTCGACAAGCAGCCTTTGTGCTCCAGGGCTCTGCAAGCCGAGGAGAAGGCATCTGAGCCATTGTGTTCCAAGGAGGGAACTCCGGTGATGCAGATAAAGAAGTGTTGATCAACAAAGAGGTGCCAGGAAAATCTCCCCTGGACTGCAACTCTCAACCAATTAACCTATTCCCCAAACCCCTCACCCACCCTTTCTTCTCCTTATAAAAAGGTCTGCTTGAGATGAGATATTAAGATGGTTTTCGAGGGTACGTAACCTGCCATCTTCTCGGATCTCCAGCCATCAGAAAATAGCACCCCCAAAGATTCCATCTTTGTCTCTATTAATCGATCCTGGTAGAGTCAGGCAGCACGAACACCGGCTTTTTCAGTGTGAGCTCTGGTGGCTGTCATGGTCTTGTGGACTGGTTTGGTGGAGGAGGGAACCTTCAGAGGTTCCCGCCCCCCTGCAGTGCCACCTTCTGCAAAGCCTGAGACACATCCCCAGGTGGCAGGGAGCTTCTCGCTTTCGCTTTCATCATGCCAGAGGTTTCCACCATCCTCTGGGGCCAAACCCTTGGGCCATCAGATACATTCAAAGGTCCACTGGGGCTTTGTATCCTTTTCTTACTCTCTCACTGCCTGTTGAGTCTCCCAGATCTGGGAGCTGAGATATCTTTTCAGCCCTGCCCTAACTCCTGGCCTCCTCAGACCAGGCCTGTCACGGAGCAGACACCACTGGCCTCCCACAGGGCCTTTCCTTCCCCTGAGGAGCTGAACGGATGACTCTAACAGCTTGTCAGTCCCTGTCACTGGGTCTGGTATGGGAAAACTGTGCAGTTTGCCCACTTAGGCAGGCCAGAAAAAATGGTCCTTATGTGTTGGGAGTTCACTACTATCTACTCCAAGCACATGCTAAGAACTTTACATGTATTAACTAATGCTCCCCAAACCCTATGAGGTGAGCCCTATCATTATATTCATTTCACAGATGATAAACTAAGGTTCAGGAAGATGCAGTGGCGTGTCCAAAGTCCCAAGGCTTGTAAGTGGCAGAGCTGGCTTCAATCTCTCTGACTGTAAATCTCATAATTTTACCAGATTTTTCTACCCTGGCCACCTGAGATTCTGGTTTCCAATGTATACGTCCAGCAGCTCATCCTTGGCCCAGTAAACTAAAGCAGCATGGACAGAAGGAAATACACAGTTTCAAGTGAGTCTTCTGGAAGAAAGTCCTCGAAATTGCTGGGTGTGGAGCACAAGTGGAGGGAACCTTCTTGCAGCTGAGCCTTGCTGAGGTCCAGAGGTCCCTGCAAACAGGGCTGTTCCAGGAGGCGATCAATCCAGGGGTCTAGACAGAGGGTGGGAGGCACCGCCCCACATGTTCTGCAGCATGGCCGGGTTCAGCATGCATGAGCCACGTGACCCCTGTTGATATTTTCCTAGAAATAACCACCTGCTGCACCAGGCTAAGTTTAGATACTGAGGTCCCACGAGACTGCCCTTCCCCCTTGCAACCTGCACCGGCTCCCCAGTATTTACATAATACTTGTGATGTGCCAGGCACTGTTCTATGCCCTTTCCATATATTAACTCATTTAATTTTTATAAAAACCCTATGAAATAGGTTTTATGGTTGAGGCAATTGAGGTCCTGAGTGGTGAGTACCTTGATTCCGGTCACACAGCTGAGACTGGAGGCGGGGGGCCTGTCTCCAGAGGCCTCGGAGCCGCAGCAGCCTGTGGGGATTTGCCCAAGCACAGGCAGAAAGAAATGAGCTGCTTCTAGTGCTCTGTGCTTTGGTGTATTGACAACTGAGGCCTCAGGGGTTGTGCTGCCCCATTTCCAGTGAATTTTCCCTGCCTGGACCTGCAGGCCACCCCTCCCCTTGCTGCCCTTTCTCTGAGTGAGCATACCCTGGCCGTGGAGTCTCCTGTCTCACTCTTCCTTCCCAGCTTTGGAGAGGTGTCCTTGGGTACTCACCAGAAGCTCCTCCTCCTATGTGTCCAGCTCTAGGGTCTTCTGCCATACCCTTCTCTCCGGGACGCTTTGTCCGTGAAGGATCCAGGGCCGCTCCGCAGAAAGGAGGAACTGAAGAGTCAGTGTGGTTTAGAGAAAGAGCACTGATTTAGGACTAAGGCAGAACTGTGTTTGAATCGTGGCATGGCCACACACTAGCTATGGTAGGCAGAGTAATGCCCCGCTCCAAAGACATTCAATACCTTGGAATCCTCAAACCCTGTGAATATGTTCCCTTGCAGGACAAAAAGGACTTTGCAGATTAAGTTAGAGTCTTGAGATGGGGATATTATATTATCATGTATTATCGGGGTGGGCTGAATGGAGTCACAGGTGTCATTATAAGGGGAGGCAGGAGAGCCAGAATCAGAGAGAGAGACGTACCGGAAGCAGACGTCAGAGTGAAGCAGGGAATGCAGGAAGCCCCTAGACGCTGCGAAAGTACAAGGGACAGATTCTCTTTTCCCTGGAGCCTCCAGAAAGAACACAGCTCCACTGCCCCTTTCAGCCTTCAGACCTCCAGAACTGCAAGATAATAAATCTGCATCATTTTAAGCCTCTGAATGTGTGGTCATTTGTTACAGAAGCCATAGGGAACCGATCTACTAGCTACATGATCTTGAGCAAGTTCCTCAACCCTGGAAACCTCCATTTCCTCCTCTGGGAAATGGACTAAGAAAGCCTACCTTGCCGTGTTGTTGTATTAGAAAAAGAACCTGATAAAAGCTTGGTTCATGATAAAACTTAATAAATGCTGTTATGAAAAGGAGGAAGAGAGAGAAGAGAAGCAGGGAGAGGAGGGGAGCTGGATGGCAAAGCCACAGCAGACCCGCATTCTGGGCCGCTCCTGGCAGCACGTGGGTCCAGAAAACACTGCCCACATCCCTCCTGGACCCGCCACCCAGCTTTAATTTGTTTTGACTTCCGGATGCTCTTATCCACCTTAGAAGGGTCAAGGGGCAGTCCCTGCTAATATGCCCTTCTGAAAGCTTTGCTTCCTGCATGCGAAACTGAGGTGTCTTGGTCCATTCAGGCTTCTATAACAAAACTACCACAGGCTGGAGGGCTTACAAACAACAAGCATTTGTTTCTTAGCCCTTGCTGGCGTGGCTCCGTGGATTGAATACTGGCTTGCAAACCAAAGGGCTGCCAGTTCTATTCCCTGTCAGGGCACATGCCTCTGTTGTGGGCCAGGTCCTCCGTAGGGGGTGCTTGAGAGACAACCACACATTGATATTTTTCTCTTTCTCTCTCCCTTCCCCTCTCTAAAAGTAAATAAAATCTTTAAAAACAAAACAAAATAAAACATTTGTTTCTCATAGTTCTGGAGACTGGGAAGTCCAAGATCCAGTATCTGGTGAAAGCCTACTTCCTCGATAATAGATGGTCCATCTCTTTGCTGTGTCCTCACAGGCCCAAAGGGAGCTCTCTTGGGCCTCTTTTACGAGGGTACTAATTCCATTCATGAGGAATCCATTCTCATGACATAATCGAAGGCCCCACTGCCATATACCATCACACGGGGGATTAGGTTTCAACATATGAAGTTGGGGGGGGACACAAATTCAGTCTGTAGCATGAGTTAAGAAAGAGTTACAAGGGCCCCCAGTAACTGCCCATAGTTCCTGGCACCATCAATGGTCCCACCCGACTGACAGAGAGCATCAGTTTGTCTTCTGACGTCTCAGTTTTCCTGAACAACCATGGTCTGTGGAACTGTGCAGATCATACGCTGAATCCTTGTTTTGTCCAGGAACGGAGCCTGTGGCCCGAGAGAGCCGTGGTGGTTCACCATCGTGCACGTGCGTCTGTGTGACGGCCTCGGTTCCTCCGCACCCTCACTCAGCATTTTGCCTCGTGTTTCAGGGAGCGTAAAGTGGTATTTCATTTTGATTTAAATTGGCAATTTCCTAAAAACTAATGATGCTAGACATTTTTTTCATGTGCATTTTGGTTATTTGTGTACCTTCAAGAGTCTGTTCTAGTCTTTTTGCCCATTTAAATAAATTTGGTTGTTCATCTTTCACTGTTGATATAAATGCACTGCTGGCAAATGTGTAGCATCATACAATTGCTTTGGAAAATTGTTTTGGCAGGTTCTTAAAAAACTACTTATTTATCCACCCAGCAATCCTACCCAAGATAAAAAAAAACGTGTCCATACAAAAGCTTAAAAATAAGTGTTCATAGACGCTTTATTTGTAATAGTCAAAAAGTGGAAGTAATTCAAACGTCCATCAGCTGGTGAACAAATAGATGAACTGTGAAACATCCACAGAATGGAACACCATTCAGCAATAAAAATGCATTAATTATTGATGTGTGCTCCACAGATGCATCTCGAAAACATTGTTATTTTCAAAAGAAGACGAGCACAAAGAGTACATACTGTACAATTCTGTGTATGTGAAGTTCTACAGCAGGCAAAGCTTATTTTTAGTGATGTAAACAAATGAGTGGTTGCATCTAGGGCAGTGTGAGGGGAGGTTTTCCCGGAAAGGGAAGGAAGGAACTTTCAGAGGTGGTGGAAATGTTCCATATATAGTTCAGAGTGATGATTACACTGATGCATAATACAATTGTCAAAATTCATGAAATTAAACTTTTGAATGTGTACATTTCTTTCTTTCTTGTTTTCTTTTTCTTTTCTTTTCTTTTTTTGATGGACAGACCCTGCTTCAGGTTTATTTGCACAAACACCACAGGAGGACCTCAGCCCCCGGGCCCACCAGTCCTTCTGTCCTCGTGTCCTCACACAGAGGCCTCCACTGTGGAGCCTTCGCAGGGGCCTGGGCACCGCGTGGAGCCTGAGACTGAGCCTGAGCTGCAGCCTGAGCCGCGCTGCATCTACAGCCTGGGTCTTGGTTTGGGCCTTGGCCTTGGCCTTTGGCTGGCAGAGCCGGAGACCCTTGGTGATGCGGGCATGAGCACTTTCCCCAGCTTGGAGTGAGCAATGTAAGCAAGTTGACTGAGCTTGTGGCTGCTGCCATTTGGGATCTTGGGCTTGACCTCCTTGGACTTGACCAGGGCCTTGATAGCCTCAGCACGTGTGCTAATGGCCTTGGCATTGTTGGCCTGCATCTTCTTCAGGCCCTTCTTGTGGTGTTTCTTGGCAAAGCGCATGAAACTCAGGAGCTTGGGGTCTACGGACTTGAGAGAGTCGTATCTTTATGATCGGGGTTTCTTGACGCCATTTCTGTGCCATTTTGGGGGCTGGTTGTGCATGGTGTGGTTCTTGGACTTGGCCATCTCTGCACCCAAGCTCGTGGCTCTTGAAGCACCTGAGAATGCAAAATAAACTAAACGTGTACATTCCACAGTATGTACAACAGATTACATCCCCTTTAAAAAACTGAGTAACACCTCAATTTTATATTACTACCACTAGGTGGCAGTACCACCTAATGCCCAAGAGACCGTAAAGTTTGCAATGACTAAGATTCTTAAGTGTTCTTGAAAGCTTGAGGCATTATTCTGTGTGCATGTATTTTTAATTTCAATCAATTGCATTATGCTGGAGGTCTCTTTCTGTTCCTTACTCTCCCTCTACCCCTGATTCAATGTTGTGTTTTAAAAATCTATTTACACTGATAGGTGGATATCTAGTTCATTGCTCATTACTGTCATGGAATATTCCAGTGATTAGTAAGTGACTCAATGGGTCTAGCTCTCCAACCATCACAAATAACTGTAGATAAAATACCTCCTTTTTTCCCAAAGATTTTATTTATTTATTTTTAGAGAAATGGGAAGGGAGGGAGAAAAAGAGGGAGAGAAACATCAATGTGTAGTTGCCTCCTGCACGCCCCTTATTGGGGGCCTGGCCCACAACCCAGGCATGTGCTCTGACTGGGAATTGAACTGGTGGCCCCTTGGTTTGCAGGCCAGCAGGAGATCCACTGACCCATAGCAGCCAGGGCTAAAATACCTTCTTATATGTCTCTCTGTGGGTCTATGCAAAATTTCTCTAGTTATATAGCCAGGATTGGGATCCTTCCCACCTCTACTCATATTTATTTATTTGTACTTTAAAAAATCCTTCTACTTAATAAATTCCTCCCCAATTCCTTGTGCTAAAACAGCTGAATCAAAGCAATATCTGAAAGTTTTAAATGAGAAGAAATAGCCCTGGCTGGTGTGGCTTAGTGGATTGAGTTCTAGCCTGTGAAATGAAAGATCCCTGGTTTGATTCCCTGTCTGGGCACACACCTGGGTTGGTGCTCCTAGTCAGGGGCGTGCAAGAGGCAACCAATTGATGTATCTCTTACACATCAATGTTTCTCTCCCTCTCTTCCCCCTCACTTCTCCTCTCTCTAAAAATAAATAAAATCTTTAAAAAAAAAAAAAAGGGCATCCCTGACTATTACACACTAGATGCCAGTAGTAGCATTCCTCTCCCCAGTTGTGGCAACCAAACCTGTCTCCAGATATGGTCAAATGTCTCATAGAGGGGACAAAATGGCTTCTGAATGAGAGCCACTGTTTTAAGGTAACTGAACTCTGAGATTCGCTTGGGGCCTTTCTTTAGACTCTTCCTTTCTTTTTGTCAGTTTATTTCAACCCTAATCTCAGCTAGACTTGCACTTGCATTTTGTGGTCCTTTTCACACCCCCTGCACCTCAACCACCTTGCTTTCTAGCGGGAATAAAGCTCTTCCTTCCCCATCTCAGATCTTACTTCAAGATCATAGCCTCCTTGCAGTAGACTGAGCACCGAGCAATCCTCCAGGTTCTCTCCTCCCTGGGTTTCCTGGCCTCCCTCTCTCAGTCACTAGAGTGTGTCAGAGTAATGAGAGGGAGTCAGAATTCACCTTGTGTCCCCCCCCCCCCCCGCCGAGAAATCCAGACATCTATTAGCCCCACAGTGGTTAATAAAATATTAAAAGTCTGATGATTTGGTCCGAAGGGGGAACAGAAAAGGGGATTTCTCTTTTCAGTTCTCACATTCTTTCTCCTCACCAGGTAGTTGTTTTCCCTCTAGGTCTCCTGTGTGAGTTCATTTTTTATCTACAGTCCCTGGATAAACACCCAGGGTGACGGCTGTCCTGATATTGCTCGGCGTACTAGCACTGTAAGCTGCTTCTCAGGAAGGTTCTCCATAAAACCAGTGAGGGCCATGATGCCTTTTGGATTTCTCTCTTGGACATTGGCAATGATCATTCATTTATTAAAGCCT